GATGCAATATTCTTTGTAGCAATTTCCTTGCATGTGAGGCCATTTTGATGCAAAGTGATGATGGCTGCACATGTTTCTTTGGAGGTAACCATTGCTAACAAGAACACAATGATTGGAAGCGCTTCATCACTCTTTTTATAGCAATCAGTCAGCTCTTACAATCTAATAGTGATTTCACCTGACTAGTACTCATTCACACTTTGTGCTGCTGATATGATTAGTGAATTAATGTTAGCTGGTTATTTTGTGTTAGGATCAAAAACAGTGAAATTAGTTTTGTTTTTGTTTTTTTGTAAAAAGTTCATTTTTTGGCCAATTAAGCTTTTAGCAGTTATTTAAAATGCATCTGATCACTCTACACAATAATCTAGAAACAATGTGAACAAGTTTTGCAAGCGTGACGGGGAGGGCGGGCGGGTCCACCACCTTCTTGTAGCCAATCAACTGAGGCTCTCGCTGACTCTCCATTTACTCTTATCCGATTGGTTCAATAAACACATCACACGCCAAAACATTAATCTTTATTTAGTTCAGGATAATTGTCGCAGCCAGAATGGTACTTTTAACGTACACATACATTAAAAATAAATAAAAATAAATAACAACTTGATTAAAACATGATCATACTGAATTTCAAGCTGTGTAATATCCTTTTCTTCCTCAACAGGCTATATATGATATGTTAGTTTATTGTAATATTGTAATTTTGATTATATTAAAGATGGCCTAGTATCTGCACTAGATTAATACATGTATAATTTCACCTGTCTACTGATCAGGGACGATTCCATTTTTTTAAAACTAAAATTTGGTTCAATAATAATTGAAACAACAGTAATATTTTTTTTTTTACTTTAACATGTTGTAATTTAAGGGGATTTTACTAAATATTACTAAAATATTTATTATCTCTAACTTATTGGGAACTTATTCACCATTTATCATCTGTAATACCATTGTGTAACCACTAGATGGCTGTTTAGCTCTATATATAAACATAAAGATGGCTGTGTGTTCCCTAGTGGCTGGGAACCTTGGATTCCCACATAATTAGTTACTTGAATTTGGATATATATTTAGACATCATTAAAGACATATTTTTCTCAAATTTGATTTTTTATTTTTTTTTTATGTTGATTTGAAGTGTAAGTTTTTGCGTTAGTCAAATCTGGACACAAAGAAAGCATTTTGTTACTCATACTTGCTTCATATAATAGTTTTTCGCGTTTGGTCTCGTTCTGTATCGCATATCTTGTCAGTGTCTGCGCTTGCTTGGCCATTTGTTGCGGAGAAAATAAGGAAAGTGTGTTCAAGCGCCAGCAGAAAACAGTGTAAAGCAATAGTCTTTGAGAGAAGCAGTCTTTATCAGCGGAAGTTAAAAGCTGATCAGTCACATGAAAGTAATCAGAATCAATACCGAAATTTCGAAATATTTAAATTGAGTGTTAAATACCGTCTGAAAAACTGACAAATTCAGATTTATGTAGCTTTATTGGTATAGTAAATAGGTTTTTACAAAGTATAGCACTCTGATACTTTAGTGCTGAGCATTGTCACATAACATCATTTTGACTGTAATATTTAAAGGTGTCCTATTATGCTTTTTCACTTTT